AGGTTTATATATATATGAAGCTAAGTAACTAAGATGTATTTTAGACTAACGAAAATATGAAATTCGAGCAAACTAAAGACACACCTACCTCCTTGAAATCTTGGTTCAAAAGAAAAACATGCCATCCTAAAAATTTAAAATGGCTGAAAAAACCACTAGGGGGACATTCTGAGCTTCCAATTGGTTATTTGTGTCATATATAGAAGTAAGTGTATATAAGGGAGCGTTTCCAAAAATGGAAAGAGGTGGGCGGGGTGCCACTGTGTTTGATTTATTACATGAGAAGTATCTTAGCAAATAGAAAAGATAAGACCTTCTTATTTTATATTCTAGCCTGTCAGTACCTGTAATTTGAGTTTCTAATTTGTATGAAACTGTAGACTTAGTATTTTGACTTCACAAACATCTTATTTTAACCAGTGCTGCATAGTAAGACTAGGGGACACATAAAATATTTTGGCAGGGTAGGTGTCATCTACAGCTAAAACAACTTTATACTTCTAACTGGATAGTTGGCCTTTGAAATGGGTTACCTTTAAATATGGTAGATGCAGTTAGTTTAAGGGAAAGCTTAATAAATATTTGAATGATAAGGTTGGAGTGTTTTATATTTATTTTAGAGATTAGTATAGTAGAGGGGATGGCATAAATGGACAAATAAGTCCATTTTTTTGTCCTTAAATTATATGTATGTATAAGTCTTGGACTATGATGACAATTTCTGACATTGTCATACAAAAGGTTTGTATAAGGGGAAAATTTAGTATATTTCACAATTTTTTACCAATGTTTTATGTAAAAACTAAAAACTACCTGTTAATAGTCAAAAGACAAAACTAGAATGATTTATTTTTTTCCACCTAACAATCAGACTGGTAAGGGTTTGAAACTGCATGTACTTACCTGGATTAAACTTTTACTTGTCGTGAACAATCAGGCAATCAATAATGTCAAGCACTATTGTGTGCAGAAGCTTCAAGAAAACTTCCAATAGTCTCCAGCACTGGTTTCAAAGTCTTGTTATTGCTGTATTTTTTTTTCTCATGTTATGAATAAACTGATTTCTGTTATTATTGTGAAACTTCCCTCAACTTGTTGGAAGGTCATACACTGTAGTGGGATTAGTTATTATTTGGAAATCATATGAGGTTTCTCTAAGCTTAAATTACAGGTACATTTATCAGATACTGCAAATTAAGTAGAATTAATGGAGACAGTAAGTGCAGAATTAAAAAGATGTAGGAAATAATTTACTTCTTCCTGTGATCTTAAAAGTTTTTAAGAATTTCATAAAATTCTTACTGGATATATAACTGAAGTAGTTCCGAGGGGGGGGATTAGATATGGGGAACTTTTGTTTACCTTTGAAGATTCCTGTAATAGTTTTTTTATATGATTGATATTTCATTTGGAATTAATTTTCTTTCATACGAAAAAGATGCATGTATAATATATCAAATAAAAAAAACTTTAATCAGTTTGGGTGATGTAATGTCTCTTATATTGTAGTTGTAGAAAATTTACTATAAATACATGCATTATGTCTGAAGTGTTGGTTTCATAATAAAAGCAATGACAATAACACTTTGTTTCAAGTTGTTTTGAGGGATGCGTTGATTAGTTATGACAAAAGTTAAGATTCTTAATAATACTTTTGTGCATAATGTTGTCCCACTTTATCATCTGCTTGTTTTTACTATGAAAGTACTGTTTCTTCAGTATTTTTTTAAAGAAATACAAACTATACAGTTTACTGGAACTGCTTAAATCATACAGGTCATTTTTAAAAATTCTTACTTTGGATGTATAATTATTTTTCTTTGTTATAAAAATTATTAGATAATTAACCACTATGAATATTAGCTGCATTATTGTACACAAAGTTGTGCATTTATTCATGTGCTAGTAATAATGTATTTTATACTTTAGTTTGACATTATCTATGGCTGATGACCATCTTTAATATTTACAATCAATATTGTCTTTAATTAGCACTCATAATTATCAGACCATATAAGTGCTTCCATGTTACTGTCAATTACGTTATACTTAAAACCATTTATCAAGTTTTACAAAAACTAGAAATTTTTCATCATATTTAATGAAGTTGATTCATTAAAAATTACAAAGAATTATTTATTTTTTCATTTCTCTTTTTCAAATTTCTGAAAGAACAAGAAGTTTACAACTTGGGAATTTGTTTTTTATTGCTAGTCTTGGAAGTTTGTGAAAATTATTTTCTTTTTGAAAAATATGTCCTGACTAGACTAAAATATTGCTTGTGGTTTACTATTTTAATATGAGAAGCCTACATTAGCATGTGTTAAATTCTGCTTAGATTTAATTTTGGTACAACTTTAATTGTGTAATTTTCATTCAAAGGTAATTCTGTTACATTGCAATTAAGGAAAAGTGTATATAGTCAGTGGTGAGATTCAGCCGGTTCGCACCGGTTCTTGCGAACCTGTTCTTAGAATTTAATG